TTGGGGTAATCTGTTATACAAGTATATAATAGATACCTAATACAGCATCAAACTTTGAAATGCTCAGACCTGGTGATTTTAATGATCCCTACCAATTCTACCATATTTCATCCTAGGAAGCAGACCTCATAGCAGAGATACTTTCCTGCTGGAAGACATCTACCTAGGCATGCTCTTGTCATACTGAGATGACATAGATATAACCACTATGTACCACAAAATCAAATAGGACTTTCTACAGCAGCATAGCTGTAGAAATGGGCTAGAGAGAAACAAAAACGGGAGGTGAGCAACCTCTGACCTGCCCTATTAGGGCTGTATTCTAATATCAGCCACATCAGCCTTCACAGCCTGCCCAGTTCCAGGGGGCCGAAGTGCAGTTATGGGCCCACCCTGCCAACCGCTTGGGCTTGCGTCATAAAGCTTCCTAGCTCACTGAGAAATTCTGAGACCTGCCTAGAAACCCTCCTGGATGTTCCAAATCCTCTCCTCTTTCCCCACCCTTCATACCCTGTGAGTTCTGAGGCTAGACCCTCCCTGCCTTAATTTCCCAGGCACTTAGCCTGAGGTCAGAAATGTATGTGGTGATCAATAAACATGTGTTGTAAACAACACCTTTCTAATGTGTCTTTCTTTCTCTCTGAAATGTGTATGTGTCTTTCTCTCCAGGTATAAGCTTCTCAAGATCAGCACTGTAAGTTTCTCAGGATCAGGGATGTGGCCTAATTCACCCTCGTGTGTAGATTTCGAGGTTCACTAACCTCCAAAGACAGGGCTCAGAACAGAAAACAAGCACATGCTCTGTGAAGCAGGGTAGATCTTTGGCAGCAGTCCTCAACAACTCTCCTTCTATTCTGGCATCAGATCCCCCTGGTGCACAGTAACCCAGTGAGGGAAGATCCAAGAATTCCTCTGATCTCCAAATGTCGTGACCAGGATGAAGGAGAGGTATCTGGTCTGGCCCCACAGTGTAAAGGTTAAGAACTGTGCATGGAAAGCTAGATTACAGGTGGCCAGCTACTCTTCAAATCCTAGCCTAGGCCACTTGAAAAACGTGATAGGCACATGTGAGTACATGCCCAAAATCAGAATGGGATGAGTGAAGGAAAGGAAAAGGACTGCAGTGTGACCCTGCCCATTGTGGGGAGGGTATGCTTGCTCTCTGTTTTTCTCTCTGGTCTCTGGCAATTAAAAAAAGGAGAGTAGCAGTATCTGCATAATGCCAGAAATCAAGAAGGAAAAGAAAATGGAATTAGAAGGAAAGAAGCAAGAGAGGGAACGTTACCATTCACATACCTAGGCAGCAAACACATCTCCTAGAAGACATCCCTAGTTACCTAAAGAGCTGCAGATTCAGGAGGTTGGATACATTACTGCTTAGACTCAGAAAGTCCTTTTGCGATTTTTGAAACAAATAACATAAAAGAAATAAAAGCTGGCTAAGCAGATGATCACATATGCCCAGAAACCTGCTGAGTAATTGAAGAGAGCCAAGTCAGTCGCCTCTGAGGGAAGTGACCAATGCTTTGCTTCCGGCAGAGACTAAAATCTGATACTTCTAAGGACCAAAGAGGAAATATTAAAACTGAAAGCCCTTGGCTATAGCCAACAATTGTACACTGGTTTCAACAGAGGAAAATAATTTCCTTCCCGACTCCCACTGGGCCAGTCACGCCTGGAGCAGAAGGTGTGATTATCTAATCAAACAAAGTACAAGAGTCGACTGGCTAGACCATAGCTTCCATAGCTTCCGTGGGGTCTCTCAGGCGTTGAGCTTCCTGGTTCCCCCACTCTACCTCCATCTACCTCCCGCTGTCAAAATAATAGATAAAATAAAAAATAATGGTAATGGGAAATTTAATTTCAAGTTTAACATCACTTTTAAGCAAATTTCCAGATCTAGATCCTTTTCAAGCCTAGAGGCAAGTTCATGCCCACCCAATCTTGGGGAGCACAGAGGTGCAGAGTTGGGGGGAAGAATAAACTCTGAGCGTGTACTACGCAGCAGGTGCTGTGCTGGGCCCTGGCCTTACATTGTTGTCCTTCTCCTGTATATTCATGATGAGTCTTTAAGGAAGAACACAAAAGTATTACCTTAGCATATATGGACCACACTTTGTAGTTTACAAAACAAGTTGTATTGATACTCTTGCTCTAAGAGGTAGGCAGGACAATGACTGTTTCTGATTCTGATACCAGAAAATGGAGGCAAAGGGATGTTGTTTTCCTGGAGTTAGAAGTGTAACACTTGGCGGGTCTCTGTTACCTCATCCCACCATACTTACTGTCTTTTTATGGACTCAGAAACTTCTTAACTCATACTCGTCCCCAAAACCTTTTCGGTCCATTTATTTGTTTCATTCACATAAAACTCAACCAGTGCCTGACAGAACACTTTTAGATTTGTTCCTCCTGCCCATGAAATCTCATGGTGCACTTAATGTGTCAGAGTCCCCACAAGAGCCTTAGGGCACACGGACACACACAAGCACACAGATGCTGGCAACTTCTGAGGGGGTTTTATATTTTTGAAGGTCATGGCCATGTGTGCACCAGCACCCTGCCATCTCCAGTCCTGTAACAGTTGGTGGTGATACAGCGTCTTCCTACAGACAGCCTAGCTGGTCACTGTCCTTACTGAAAGGTGGGACCAGAACCAAAACCCAACACTATCAGGAGGCTCTGACAAGGGGGTAAGCAGGCATGCAGGAGGTCCATGGTTGCTCCCATGGCTTCGAGTCCTCTCTCCTGCTCTAAACAATACCCAGACAATCCTTTGCGGGGCCACTTCTCCACTATATAGCTGGCATGAGGTTTGGAAGGAATGTTTTCATATCCAGTACTAGGAAACCCATGACTCAAACATGCTGCTATTATGCGAATATTCATTTACCCCTTCAAAACACATTGCAATCTGATTCTCAGTATGGCACTGATGGGAGGTGGGGCCTGTAAGAGGTGATTTGGTGGACATGGACTGCTGTCTTTCTCACTGGATTGGCTCTCCTACAGGAGTGAGTGAGTTACCATGAGAGTAGGCTGTTGTAAAGCAAACCTGGACCACCCCCCTCTCTCTCTGACACACATGCTGCCTTTCAAGGTTCCCCTTATGCTTCTCTACCATGTTCTGATATAGCACAGGGCTGCCACGGTAGCCCAGTTGTGAACTTCTCAGTGTGCAGAGCCATGAGCTAAATAAAACTGTTTTCTTATAAACATATTCTGCTTCATATATTCTGTTTCAGTAATACAAAATGGACTAAAGCACAACCCAATTAGCATAGTCCCAGCTTTTTGCCTTAGTGACTAATTTGGGAATGTAGCCATTGAGAATAGCCATGCAGTAATTCTCCAGCCTATGACAATATGTCAAATGGGCTCTCTCTCCTCCAAATGGGAAGGAAGGTGCATATAACCTAGTTTGCAGTGAATGGGTATCTCATTACTAAGAGGTAAAATATCCTAAGGATGAAGCCAGCACATAAGAGAGGCCAAAGCCAGGAACATCACAGAGCAGCAGAGCTGGAGTCCTGCTCAAACTGCGTCTAAAGACCACCTTCTCTCTGGATTTGCCAGTTTCCAGATGTTACAGATTTGCAGGATCACCCACCCAATTTATTCTATATATCATACTGATTTAATGTAGTCTAAGGTTGCATCAGCATTTTAGAAAACAAAGGCCTTCTTTAGAAGACGATGCCTAATAATAAAGGTTTATTATTAGCTTTGGAATACTAAATTCTTCTGAGTCTCTTCTGGCTTGCTCATATTAAGGCAACTTCTTCATTCTGCCATACACACTAATTTTTTTTTAATCTAAGTGTAAGGCTTCATAGTCATCATAATTTAATTTTAAACAGTGAAAGGTTCAAGAGGAAAAACAGGTTACAAGGATTCCCATTTACTGCTCAAACTGTACCCTAACAGAAAAATAGTTAAGACCATGTCTGAAATTCTAACACATTATAGTGTTTAAAAGTCAAAGCAGTGCTTTCCAGCCTTCTGTGTTATTCAGATCAGTGGGCACACAGAAAGTCAGTTGTACTTTTAAGATACAGTACATCGAGTGAGGAAAGACAGCAGAGTGACGACACAACTGTAAACTCAGTGGCACTGAAAATGAATGAGGTTCTATCAATCACAACATCACCTGCTCTGCTCTGAAAACTTACAGCATCAACAGAGCAAGGGGCATGATCTAGTCACTATAAAGCCAATACAGATGGGCCCTCAGCATGGAGACCACAAATCGACAATGCTAAGTGGACCCTCATCCTTAACTCCCCAGGGATTTTCCGAAGTTCTCGCCACAGCCAAGATGTCCAGTGCCATTCATTCTTTTGACCAGCCCTGCTTCTTGAACATGGTGTTCAACTCTACTTGCTAAATTCAGAGATGCCCCAAAACACAAGGGAAAACTGTTCCCATTTTCCCTTCCAGGTAGCAACAGCCTTCACACTAAAATCCCAGTGGATTCCTAGGAGGTCCTTTAAGACAAAGTTGCACACCTTTTCCCTAAGCAAATTTAGCTTCCCCGACTTCAAAGGGTTGTTATGAAAATAACGTGGGATCACAAAAATGAAGCGCCCTGCACAGAGTAAATAAGAGACGGTCTCTTCTCGTAAATGCTCACAAGCGTTAACAGACATTTTCATTTTGATCTGTCAATTTTAAGAACACTTCTCCATGCCAAAGGAAAAAGACAGAAGTGATAGAATTATTGGCAATTTGAAATCATCATTACTCCGAGTGTTCTTTTAACCCCTGTGCATGCTGCCTTCCAAGAGCCGAGTCCTGCCTTTGCCCAGCCCCGTATTTTATTCACATTATTATAACTTGTCCATTGCTAATGAAAAAGAAGGACATTTTGGTCTTTCCTAGTTCCTATCCACTCTCATTGCTAGTGCATATGCTTCTAATGGAACCAATTATTTGTTTAAACTCATTAAAACATCAACATTGATTCTAAAAGAGAAGTGTCTTTTATGTGTAGGACTCACCAACTGAGGAAAAATATCTTCCCTTTGATGAGTGCGCAGTGAAACTGAAAAAGCAAACGGACAAAAAAACACTGAAACTGGAAATCGGCTGGCTGGATTCTGTCTTCAGTTCTGTCTGAATCTAGATGTTCTCACCTGTGGAAAATGGGAAAATCAGGTTGCTTATATTAATAAGTCTTTAGAGCCATTACAGTTTCTGAACTTCCCATGTTGATGACATCTCTGGCTGGGCCGTTCTGAGAATGATACCCGGCTTGAAACCTCAATTCTAGTGGCTTGCCTCCATTCCTCCTAAACCCGCAGTCAATTTCTGGCACTTCCATTTCATTAATCTGTCTCAGAATAAGAGAAGAAAGAATGCTGGAGTCTCAGTGTTTAGGTCTCAGCTCTCCTGGGAAAACAGCTTCATCTCAATAATAGATGAGGGACCAGCAGGTAACACAATGGTTAAGGAGCTGGACTCCCATGTGGTCTTGATCACAGTTCAAGTCCCAGACCCAGTGGCTTGAAACTCATGCCAGACACAATATGTGTGTATGTGTGTGTGTGTGTGTGTATGTGTGTGTGTGTGTACCCAAAAACAAGAGGAGAATGGAGAAGGGACTACGGCATGGCCATCCTCCCTGAGGAGTGATTTCTTGCTTTCTATCTGTCTGTCTCTTTCTCTCCAGTGAGCACATGTGCCCTATAGAAAATGTACCCCCCCAAAAAGAAGTGAGTTAGATCAGTTAGTTATTCACATTTTAGACAAGAAAATAATTAACAGAAATTCAAAGTATACCAAATAAAGAGAAAAAAGGAATATGAGATTAAAAACAAATTTCAAATTTGGAGATCTAGTGATCCTTTTGAACTTTAGTTTCCTTGCATGAAAAATGAGATCCAGTGAAGGGCTGAGAGCTGGACAATCATTGTACCCCTGGTAAATCATCATTAAAGGTTTCACTAGAACTATCAGTCTTATGCTAGATACTATACAATATAAATACATATATATATATATAGCATAGTATTCAAATAGTATACTATTTGAATATATATATATATTCCAAAACTAATAATGAAATAGTATATATCTGAATACTATGAAATAGAATATATATATATATATAAAAATATAAAAATTTCCAGGGCAGTGATCTGTCTGAATCTTGTTCTTTATGAATGCAGGAGATATGACTTATGAGAAAAATGAACACACCTATTCTTGTTATTTTAAACATTTAACCAATCATATAATTGGTTAATGTACATTATTTCATTTGATCTTCAAATATCCATATAATCTCAAAGATGGAAAGGAAAGTTGCCCATCTCAATACTTATAACTGCCAAGAAGAGAAGCTGAGGGCCAGGGTTGGGAGGTAGCCACTCCTGCAGCCTGTTAGGGGTGGTCAGCCCAGGGATTGCTCTACTGGATCACTCACCACCCACTTGGACAGAAGACACCAAGACCCACTGAGCAGATGGACTTCCCCTAGGTCACACAGTCAGCTTTGGAGTCAAACCAGGACTTACACACCCAAGTCTCTGAACACTTGCTTCGAAGTTCTACCAATGTATTCCAACTGCAAGAGAAAATTAAGTAGGGAAAATAGACCATAATCAAGATAAATCCAGTAAAGCACTATGCTTTCTATGAGCTAGTGGGTCTTCAGCAATATTAAAGCTCTCAAAGCCATTTCCACTGAAATGGGAGAGAGGCATAATCGCAGACCTCCTAAGGAATAGTTTTAGGAGGCCCACATTAGACTTGTGGATGGTGCAATTTCATCAAAAAAAGAAAGGCTACCCTTCACCTAGAAATCCTATACAAATCAATGCTTCTCCTCGCAGAGAGAGAGAAATCACAACAATTTCTCCAACAGCAGCAAAGGACGTCTGATTTCCAAGAGTTCTAAACTCTACTGAAAAAGAAAATCTCTTCACCCTTGGCTCAAGGGGTATCACACACTCCCCAACTTCCCTCCATGCACAAATGAAAGTGGTCTCTCTTTTTCATAGTCAGCTTCTCTTTTAATAATTTCTTTTCCATAAGGAGAACAAGCAGCTTTACTAAAGAACCGCTGTGAAATGATTGAAGTTCCCATGCAAACAAACCATTAGCAGAGTTCAAATGCAATTTAAATTACCAGTTGTTAAAGTGCTCCTCAATTTCGTGGTAAGTTTCCAAGGAGAATTACATGCTATATACAATTTAATTGGTTGTTTTCTATTTTTTAACATCCATTTATCCCCCCCACCCTTATATTTCAGAAGTGTCTATAAAAGCTTCCCTTTAAAAAATTATACATTGTTGAATAGATTAAATCTAAAGATTGAAAAGTATCAGAGAAACAGCTGCAGGATTACGCAGTTCAGCAGAAACTGATGGTTTTGACACCACAAAACATGCACAATTTAAAAATCTCAGGAGTCACCTAGTAGAGCTCTCACTCTTCATAGACGAAGACACTGAAGCCCTAAAAGGGGAAGGAGGGGTTGGCCGGAAGTCTTCTCTCTGATCAGGGACAGATCGAGGATAAGAACCAAGACTCCTAACTCCCAGCCCCTTGCTGCCTTGTCTCACCTTGTCTCACTGAATGTCTGTCCTAAGTGGTAGCAGACAAAGGATGAAGTCAATAGGCTTGATTTTTTACCCACATTTTTAAAAATCTGCAGCCCTCTTTATATATACTTCTGACCTCAGGAGTGGAGATGAGCAAGGACATTTATCTGTCCAAAAGAGAAATACACCTTCATGAACGAGCACAAAGGAGCCCAAAACAAGTCATTTAATGAGCAGATTCTTAGCAGGTCAAGTCAACACCCCTCTAGACATATTAAGCAAGTTACGGAACATTGAGACTACAGATTTCCACTGCTTTACTTAGCCCTGAACTAGTGGCTGTCCCTGGAGGAAGAGGATAAAGGACCACCAGAGCAAAGACAGGTCTTCTCCCATCTGTAAGTGGAAAAGATTTCTGGAAGCCATCATTAGTGAAACTTCAAGTAAAAAGCTTCGATACTGGACTTGTGAGGTTGATTTCACACCCACCTGTTCCTATCTGCAAAATGGTACTAATAGCACACGTCACCTCCTAGGAGTTCCTGCCCAGCATACCCAGCACAGAACCTATATACAACGTGCATCGGTTTGCGCTCGCCTCCTTCTGTGGCTTCTACCACTTTTCTAAGTCTCTGGTTCTGTGGTTCTAATTTATTTGGACTAAACCAGAATCTTGCATGCCTTCTATGTTCCCTGTGTTAATCCTGTATATCCTTAACTATAAACTCATGTATTTTACCATTCTAAAAATGAAAAACACATGCATAAAATTCATACATCTAAGTATTTTCCTTCGAAAGTAAATTTCTTTTTTTTTTTTTTTTTTTGAGATTTTTGCTATAGGGTACATGCACTCACTGGAAAGACAGAGAGACAGAATGTAAGAAATCACCCCCCCATGAGAGGTAACCACACTGTGATCTCTTCTTCTCCATTCTCCTCTCCAGATTTTAGGCATGCACACACATGTGCCTGGCACTGAGTTTCAAGCCACCACTGTCATTTTAACAAATGAATCCCCCTCTGAGGTCAGTTTCCAAGTTTAGGACTTGAACCTGTTTAACTACATAGAAGTCCAACACCTTAACCACTATACCACCTGTTGGCAAACTTCGTGAAACTGTTTTTGTTTCAAATGTTATTATGTGAAACACACAATAATAAAATATCTATTTCATATTTAAAAACCCAAACTTTTCATCAGCCCTATGAGAAAGATTTTCCAATTGTACAATAAGAAAACTGAAGACCAAGGAAGTTGGGTAACTCCCCAAGGCAAGGGGTTTTTGTTGTTGTTGTTGTTGTTGTTGTTTTGAGAGAGGTTTTTGACGTGTGCTATTAGTACCGTTTTGCTATAGGACGCGTGCACTCGCCAGACAGAAGAGACAGAGAGACAGAAAGCGAGAAATCACCCCCCAGAGGGGATGGCCATGTTGCAATCCCTTCTCCTCCATTCTCCTCTTGGGATCTTGGGCACGCACGCACACGCGCCCGGCATGAGTTTTAAGCTACAGGGTCCAGGACTCGAACCACAGTCAACTACATGGGAGTCCAGCAACATAGCCATTACACTAACTGCTGGTCCCCCCAAGGCAAGGTTTTGAAGCTAGTAAGCAGTAAAGCCAGGACTTTAACCCATGTCTTCAAGCTCCATAACATGAGCTTCATAATTCACAGTTACGACTATAATATAGGCACCTGTTATGGTATGTACAGAAATATACCTAAATCGCTCATGCTATTTTCACATTTTAAGGAATAAAAATTAATAAAAACAAAAATACAAAAGCCTGGATTTTCAAAGTGAAGGGAAAAAAAGTTCCTATGAGAAGTGGTAAATCCTTCCTGAATTCTTCCTTGCTGTTATGTTCTTAAATGAAATAAAAAGCTCAGAGACCTGGCACGAAGCAGACATCTACTGATATTGGGGAGACAGGCTTAGGAAAGGTTAGCAATGAGCTGTTATCGAGCCAATTCAAAACAATTTTCAAGTGGCTGGGCTCATGATTAAACAAAGCATGGTTCACCTAGGTATGGGCTTCTGAAACAATTATTAGCTGACACAATGTCTTGTGCCTTGCATTCAGAAGTTCACAAAGCAGGAGACTGCTAGCACCTCCTACCATTCCTAAGGCAGCTGGTGGACCTTCAGGTGTGAGTACTGGGTCCGACGTGCCTAGAGCTCTCAGAGAACTCCCAGGCTCGCTTAGGAACACAGTGCAACACTCAGGGCAGAATGAAGAGTACACCAAAGTAAAACGACATGTAATATTCTTCTGAGGGTCTGGAAGTTCTCTGCAGATGATGTGAATTCTAAACTAAGCCTAAACACCCCAGAGGATTTCCATGTATGAGGAGGAGGAAAATAAGCCCAGGGAACACAATGTGCAAGAGTCTCGAGGAGGATGAGTTCACAGTGTTCTCAGGGAAAGTGACTAATACGGTGAGGCCAGTGGCAGAGGACATGGAGGGATGTGTTGGGATATGAGGCTGGAAAGAAATGCTGTAGCCAGAACGCAGCGGACCTTGTATCTCAGGCTAAAGCACATTCATCTTAAAACTCATACGTATTACATTTTGAGAAATG